AAAATCTTCTGAATATAATGTCCCATGAAGTACCTATGGTGGGGGGGGTATCTCTTTCTTGCCGGAGGGAAGCATGCCATCCCCGAGGGAGGTCGTGTCCCTCTATAGCCAATATACTACTCAACGTCACCCAATCCTTCACCCATGTCATAATTGCTGCATTATAATATGCTTCCCAGTTGGGTACTCCGAAGCCTCCCAGTTCTTTACGTTTTTGCAATGTTTGGGCTTTGATTTGTGCTTTCTTGCCTTGCCATATAAATCGAGCCACTATTGTCTCCAAGGATTTAAAAATTTCTTTGTCCAATTTAGTTGGTGACGTTTGAAACAAAAAAAAAAAAAAATTCGGTAGTACATGTGTCTTAACTGTCGCAATCCTGCCCATCAAAGATCAAATTGGCTCTCTTTGTTCTCTCGAAACTCTCAGAAAATATTCTTTGTTTTCTTGCCAAAATCATATCCAGAGTATTATTGATTTCTTATTGTTCCCCCCCTCCCCTTTGCAGGGTATTGACCCCATTAACCAGACTAAAGTGGTGGAAATTCTCAAAGAGGGCGATGGCTCTGAGAGGAGGAGGAGCCGAGACAGCCTGATGGCCAGCATCAAATATGAGAATACCACAGATGGTAATGAGGAAGTGAGTATGGGCGTGGAATGGAATGGGGTAAGTACAAGTCCACCATCAAGAGCCACCTAATCCAGCCAAGAGAGGCAGGGGGCAGTAACTCCCTGAATTCTGTGCTTCCCTCTGGCATCTCAGGGAGCTGATAGCCTGTCGTGGCATGCCCACCTTCATTCATTCTTCTGCATGATCTCTGCCCATTCCTCTTATTGTCACTTAGGTAGAATCAGGAAATGTCCTGCCTAGTTTCTCTGTGGTTTTTTCCCCCAATAATTCAGAAGTGCTGAATATTTAGAAGATGATGATGACAATGAAAGAACAAAAAGCAACTAATCTTAGGCAGTTTGATCTTCTGTACTATGGTTTCACAGTAGGGAATGGGGAGGGAAAGTGAAAGAAGTGATAGAGATCATTTTAAAGTCTGAGGAAGTACTTATAGCATGACCTGGATTACAGATAGGGTGATACTTTAGTGTGACAGAGTGATACTTTAGGAAATTAGTACAAGGGTAGGGACAGAAGTGTCTGTAGATGTATGCATGAATGATTGAAGGATATTGAGAAGGGGTGGAATGAATGGGTGAATTTTTTTTTTCAAAATAGTAAATGGCTACCTGTATCTTATTCATATACTCATTGATACATACGTTATACACATGGAGAAACACTTTTCTGCATTTGTTACAGGAGAACAGTTGCTAAAGTAGATGTCACTCTCCTTTACGCTTCTTTGCTGCCCTTTCTAGTGTGATGAATAGCTTCTTTCATTACAGCAAAATGTTGCAAAACTGAGTAAGGAAGACTATTATAGAGCTGGCTCAGAATATTTCAATAAAGTTTTCAGTCCTTGAAAAATAATTGTCTCATTTCCAGTGTCGTAACATTACACCCAGTTCATAAATGAGGAAGCCAGATTTTGATTGGGAAAAAATCAATCTGTATAAATTTAGGTTTTGGATGAAAAACTACATTTGTTTACTACTTTTCTCTCCCCCCAAAGTCTGTTCAGCCCTTCAAATTCAGAGATGGATGTTTTGATTAACATTTTGGAACCAAAAACCTGATTTGGGAGGAAAGAGTAGGCATTAACCACATGTTACCACCTGTGATATGTTTTTTCTAGGTTTTATTCTAAAATAGATTGAGCAGCAAATAATTTGGTCTCAAATAATTTTGGGAGGGATGGTGGTAAGGGGCCATCCATTGTTTCTGTTCTTTGGTCATACTAACAAACACCTGCTTGATTTCTCCTTAACTCTTCACCCTCTACTCTACTGATCCCTTACCTGCATGTGCTTCTCCATTCTCCATCTATCATAAGCAAATTGCCATGACAGCCAATCAGCATCTAGGTGTCTTGCAGTCTTGATTGTGGATTGTACCTAGCAGAAACACATTCTAAAAACTTGCTATAAAGAATACCTGAGCTCCTAGAATTATGCAAAACAGCAATATATGACATTCCAGACCCTAAGGATTTATCCTTTGCTTCCTTCATAAAGGGTACTTTCAAATTAGACTGAAAACCTAAATGATATATATTACCCAGATGAATGAACCAGTTTTAGCTTTCCCTTATTCTAAGATCTTTGAAAAACATTTAAATGCAAGTATATAATATTTTCTTCTTTTTCTGATAAAAGTGTGAGGAAAAGAGTGGTTTCTAAATTTGATAAATAAAATAAATAAATAGGAAGTACTGACAAAGCCATATCTATTAGTAGTTTTCAAACTGAAAAAACAGTATTTTATTTGCCCCAAGATACACAAAATATACAATTTACATATAATGTAGAGATAACAGTTTTCAACTACTCTCTTCTTTTAAATGTTTCATTTCTTGAATCTTTGATTAGTGTCCCTTATCTGCTTTAATTAGTGTCATTCATCTTAGTTATTCTATGCGTGAATAAAGAAGGATTATCTGCATCCATCTTATATAGTTTGCTTTTTTCAGGATTCAGGGTAGATATGATCCCTAGTTTAAAAAAAGCAAGTAATTTAAGATAATTTCCTCTTCAATTGATGTAGTGTCCATACTACATCCCATGTTCTTGGCCACTTTATTTACTGCAGGCTATAATCTTGTTCCAGGAATCCTCATTTCAAAGCTTCTTGTTTAGATTGAGCTCAAAGGATGATAAGGCTATGGATATGCTAGAACATTCCCTCATATGAAAGGGTAACAGCAATATGAGAGCTATCTATGCTATATTATGGCCTGCAACATCTAAAAATGACCTGTTATCTTATCCATACAATGCACAAATGTGAGTTTAAACTGTTCCAGACTCTCCCAAGTCTTCAAGAGGAATTAAAAAAGTTCCTTCTATGTATCTGCCATGTATCTGCCTCTAATCCAATTATTTTCAAACCGTGTTTAGAAAACCTGTTTTTTTTTAAGTTTGTCAAGATTCTACACAGAGATAAGAAAATTACCCCAAAAAAATCTTTCTCACTCTTTCCAGTCACCCCTAAAATGCATTTCCTGTAATCACACTTTTAACTGGAATAGCAAAATGCTGAGATCCTATAGCATTTCCCCCAGTAAATTGAGTATTTCTCAGAATGTTCAGCACCAGCAGAAATTATAGTGTGGCCATGACTCAGTGTGGACAAATGGCTCTCTATCATTACAGCTCAGTACCGTTTTAATTATAGGAATTCTTAAATCCTGACTTACTTTTCCCATAAGCCCATGATATTTAAAGTATAAAGACATTAGCTTGAACCTCAGGCTGTAGATTTCAATTTAATCTTAATCTCTCACTTGTTTGTCCTGTCTGTTCCCTGTACAGTTAAATCTACTTATAGAGCTCTTATATTGGCATCTTATTCTCTTTTCCCAGCTGGTTCAAATTTCATTGATACTCTCAGATTTTAAAAGTCCCCAGCTAAAACTGTTGAATCTTACCAACCCTTGCCTATATTTTCCAACAGTCTGAGGAAGATTTTAATGCATGAAAGTATAGGGCCCAACTCTCAATGTATTCAGTAAAATATTCTTAAATAGCTGAAATCTGGAACCAGATAGCTATGAGCTAGGTAAAACAATATAATAATATAACAATTTAATATTATGCCATTTCATGTATGCAAATAGCTCCCCTTGCCCTATTCTGACAGCTTGCCCATGAAAGATCCTATTATGCTTAATGAAGTTTCCATTTGCCAAGAAGCAAGCTGTTATGTATTATTGCCAATTTACCATCTCCAGCTTCATTTTGCTAATGAATACTTACTATTGGAGGTTTTTTTTTCCTGTTTTGTTTTGTTTGGGAGTAAGATGCTCTTTCAGGAAGAAAAAAGCAAGTCTCACAACCTACAAATTGGCCCACTGTGACTAGGAGAAAGGTTCTATTGTGTTGTTAAAAATATCTTCCCATAAAATAAGCAGAACATAAAAGAGGGAAACAAATAAATTCTGTGACCTTAACCATTAAACTCATTAAACGTTTATGTTAATAATCCACTTTTCATGCACTGCATTTTTCCAGTTTTCATGTATATTTGAATTAACATGTTAGGAAACAGTTGTTTCTCCAGATCCTGGATTGGAACTGCAGCAGTAGGAAATAATTGTCTCTCAATAACTGCTCTGGAAAATTATTTTTATTTAGGAATCGTTCCAAGGGAAAATGTTAATTAACATTCTTCTCCTGTGCTGTATTCTTACTTGAATATGGGAAACCACACAACTCATATTTCACTAGTATTTTAAGGTGACCTCAGTCTAGATTGTATTAGAGACTGCAACTAGTTCAGAACGCAGCCGTGCGAGTGATATCGGGTGTACCAAGATACATCCATGTTACACCTATCCTCCGCGAGCTGCACTGCTTCCTATTGGTCTCCGGATGCAATTGAAGGTGCTGGTTATTACCTTTAAAGCCCTACATGGCTTAGGACCAGGATACCTGCGAGATCGCCTACTGCCACATACCTCCAACGGCCGGTGAGATCCCACAGGGTGGGCCTCCTTCAAATGCCGTCAGACAGTGTCAGCTGGTGGCTCCCCAAGGAGGGCCTTCTCTGTGGTTGCTCCGACCCTTTGGAACAAACTACCCCCAGAAATCCGGACCTTGCCCACTCTCATGGCCTTCCGAAAAGCTGTTAAAACCTGGCTATTCCGGCAGGCCTGGGGCTGTTGACCTCATTGCTGAGGTCCAGCCCCAATCAGATGGGGTGCATGGGTGATGTTTTAAATTGTTTTCCTTTATTTTTTATTAGTTACTCTTCTTTTCGCTTTGTAAGCCGCCCGGAGTCCTCTGGGATTGGGCGTCCTATAAATCTACTAACTAACTAACTAACTAACTAACTAACTAACTAACTAACTAACTAACTAACTAACTAAATAAATAAATAAATAAATAAATAAATATTTTGAGAACTAACTTAAGGCATACACTACACATGCATCAAGACTATATAGGACTCTTTCAGGCTGCTGGTGGGGAGAGATTTTCTTTTTATTCCTTGACTAATTTTTTTCTTCTTCCTGGAATTTGAAAGTCTAATTCTACCAGTTTTGGTATAATTTTTGTTGTCTGAAGCAGCATCATGCTTTTTCATAATGCTGCTTGTGTAGAGTATGCCTGGTTTCTTTTTCTTACTTGAATACATTTTTTCCCTATGCCAAATTATCCATTTTAGTTGCTGAGATTGTGGAGATGGGTTCTTTTCTGAGAAATACATTTTATCCTTTTATTGTTTGCCACTAATTTTCTTTCTTTTCTCTTCTACGTCTTCCACACCATATTAGATTGGTTGAAGCAGTGGGACCATGGAATAGATGAAGGAGCCTTCCCTTACATGGCCATACTGTGCATTGGACCTTGTAATTAAATAGATCTAATTCTTACCCAAAATTGTGCTGGTCAAATAGTGGTGCTTCTACACAAAAGCATGACTAAACAAAGTTTGTATTTTGAAATTTTCAAAGCATTTTTCACATTAGTTAAAGGAATTTGTAAATCCTCTGTTAAGATCTTCTATAAGACTTTCTACCCCTCCATAATTCTTTGACCTCGTCTATACTGTTAGCATATAGCACTATTCCCTCGCTGTCACTCTTCAGGATACTATGCATCCTCACCGTGGCCTTGTACATTGTGTCTTTCTCCTCTCTGTGCACTAGGCTTAAGTGCCTCCTGAGACCTCCCCCCTCCCTTCCAACACAATCATCTGGATGCTTGTGCAGCTTCTTTCGACTTTTTCTTCCAAACCATTCCCCTCCTTCCACTGTTCCTGCTTTCCACGTCAAGGACTCCACACCCGTCCCAAACCAACCTTCCATCCAAAGTCAGCACCAAGGAACACAGCAGAAGAATATTCAACTGGCTGCACACGGCTCTACTACAGCATCAATCAGCAAGAGAACAGGAAGAAACTCTACGAGGTGGCCTCTCCCCACTTCCTTTGTCCACCAAACAGAACTTTTCCAGGATTCTCTGTGGCTTCCTTTGTTCTCTTTCCTGTACCTTAATCAGGGGGGAAGAGGTTGATGTTTGAGAATGACCTTGTTCCCTACTCTGGGGACACTACATTCACATTTGCCCATTTTCCTATAACTTGCCTGTCCATTTTGCTGCTTTCATTTGAACAATATGCCCCTTCCTGATCTTTCATGCTGCTTCCCTTTTCTTCCTCTTGCTTCCATGGCACAAAGTACAGAATTAAGAGATAGAAACAAATACTCTAATATCTCTCCCCATCCCATCTTTAAATTGTAGATAAGGATAAATGGGCTGAATAAATCATGCTCTTAATTGATGGTAAAATGGTTTGAATGCCCATTGCTGCTATTGTACAAGCCTGGTTTCTACCTTCAGCAGTGTTTAAGTCCAGAGACCCTTAAAGAAAGATAATAAAGAGTTCATCTGTATTCTCTAGTATCTGAGGCCCTTTAGCTTCAAGATGTGAAAAGAGACAAAAGCTTGTGCTGTGCCTTCTCTAAAATCTTGCTTTCACAGAAATGAAAATAATATAAACAAAGGCATTAGAAATGGAAAGACAACAACAGCAGACGGTGGCATTCAGAGAGCTAACATTAAGTCTTTGACTGATTAATCCCAGTCTGCACTTGCTTTGCCTGTTACACTTCAGAATGCTAGCATTTCACAAGAAAAGGCTTTTCTAATATCACAACCTTGGGAATATTTTTTTCTCCCACAGTTCCTTTCTCATAGTAGGAATAGTAATTGCTGAAAAAGATGGCCAGACTGTCACTTTTTCCTTACTCTTCTGCCCACAGAGCAAGAGGGGTGGGATAGTTGATGGAGTTTCATCTCCAAATTAATTCTCATTAATGTAAATTTTTAACAATGCATTGCATGTGGTCCCAGCCAAATGCCACAAAGCAAGCCCGTCATAGAAGATTGGTGTGTTAAATGGTAATGTAGCCTATAGCTGCTGCTTATTTATAAGCATGTCAAGTGAGCAGAAAAGAAAGTAGCAATTTGCACGTCTTGTAAGAGAATGATGAGCAAGGAATCTTGCATGCAAGAAGAAGGAGCAGAGACAATAGAAGGCAGATGTTTTAAAGTGGGAATAGGTTGTCCCACTGAGATTGAGCTCTGGAGGAATTTTACAGACAAAGAAAGGCTCTGGTAGAAATGGATTTTCAGTAGACAGTGCCTTCCTGTTTGTATTTTCTTACAAATAAATCAACTACATTTAATTCTGTTTCCTCCCAGGTCTGGGATTATCATCCTGGTAGAAGTTCTCCTTGAATGAGCATGTTGCCATAGAGTGAGTTAAGACAGGTGTTCTGGGCAGGAAAAAAAAGGCTGATTCCCTCAGGAATTAGGCTATAATATTTTTATAGGGTGGAGATATGACTCCAAAATACAAACAGGATGCATTGATCTAAAATTGTTGAGAAAGGGAGAAAAAAAACCCCCTGATAATATTCTAATCGGAACAAAGTAGTGACATGTTTTATATAGCAAAATAGGAAAGCAACCATTTTAGAGATCTGGGGATATATTGAAAGAAGCCTTTTCTTTCACCCAGAGAAAAGTGGACGTTAAGATTTTTAGGCTATGAATCTAGTTTCTAAGATAGTGAGGTTTTTTTAATATTTACACTGGTGCTAAATATGGGGGTGGGGTTTCATTTCTGACAGGATAGCCTGATGCTTTAATCCATCACCAGGACAAGCATATGTGAGGGAAGACTTTTTTCAGCCTATCTGCTGATCATACCATAGTTTTAGGCTGTATGCATGTGATGGGGAGGGGGTTAATGTAGGTTAATATAGTTGTGAATACAGCTGGTTTCTAAAAATAAGAAAAGATTAGCTGAGTTTACAAATTAGGCTAGGCATTAGATAAGAAAAAGTTTTTGAAGCTGTGAGTGCTGGAAAATGGAACTGAATAATAAAAGTATGGCATGATGATTTTGTGTGGCTTTTTGAAGTACCCACTGCCTGCCTCTTGCTGGAGGAGCAACAAACCAGACTATTCATTCAACCCAGGAGGGTTGTACTCAGGTGGAGTTTTGCCCCAGGCAATTTGAAATATTTTTTATGCAACTCCTTTGGGAAGTTTTGTGGAGCTGTGATGAAACCTTTGCTTTTGGCTATGTCCTTCAGGAAAGAATGTTCAAGTATACCTGAATCAGAGCAGCTTCTCTCTTGCCCTATGGCTGAGGTGGGCAATATTTGTGATCTGTTACTGAAAATCCTCCCCCACTTTCATTGGCTGTTATGACTCTGCCTTGCCCAAGAAGGAAAAGTGTCAGAGGTTCCAAGGAAGAAGCCCCGGAGGTGAATCCACACGCTGCTCTTGCATCTTCCTCATAAAATACGACCAGCTCTCTCATTCCCGCACGACTTTCTATGTTGAAATGGCCTATCTGCAAGTCTTTTTATCACACTGTCTAGAAGGGGCTGAAATTCTGTGTTCTACTCTCTGCCTTTGAGACCTACATGGTACTTTCCTTGTCGCTGTGAACTCGTTTACCTCTGATTAAAGGCAGAAGGACCTGAATCTTTGCTTCCTTGTGCCTCTTTTTCATATGCTGTCTTTGTTTTTTTTTTTTGAACCAATTTATTTTCATCAAACACAAATATTTACATTAGTATACACTACAAATCATCTGGGTGTTTTCCTTTTTGGTTCCCTAGAAAATCAGAAAACAGGTGTGCATGTGTGTTTGTATTTAAAATATGAATGCTTTGTATGGCAATGGTGCAGAAATGAAACGCCCTTAGAAGAAAGTCATTGTTTATATAGAGTAGCTTAAATTTTAATAACTCTCTAAACTGAAAGGAAACACAGAAAGTTTAAAAAGATGTGTCTTGAAAGCTGTGTCTGTGAAGGAAGTTTTTAGGGTCTGCGATTCTAGTCTTCTAGGAGAAAATGCTGCTAAACAGCCCTTCAAGAGACAATAACATAAATCATGTCCCTTTTTCTACATATCCATTTTGCCTTCCTAAAGTCCAGATATGTTGGACTTTGAGTTCCCAGATACTTAGGTAATCGGTGATTCTGCTTGCTACGGCTTGTGGAAGTTTATATCCAATACATTTGGAGGGTATCAGAATCGGAAAGTTGATTACATTGTATCTCCAAATTTCTTGTTCTGCTTCTTCCCCCAGCAAACCAAATCTTAGCAATAATGCACAGGCTAATGTTTATTTTCTCCTAGCTGTGTAATTGAAATGCATTTATAATTGGAAAATTATGTAAAACTACAACTGCACACCTAATTTTTATAATTAAGAGATTTGTATATAAAAGCCAGATGCATCTTTTTCTTGCAAAATGTCTAATTCCTTCTAAAATGTAAAGTGCAGTTTTCTACAAACCTAAGATTTGTAACAGTGAAGTTAAACATAGGTGGTGGAAAACTAGAACAAGTAGATGAACTTTTACACTTTGTTATACTTGTTATTAAGATGGAAAAATAAGTGGAGAAATTTTAAGACACGTAAATACATTTAGAAGAGTAGTAGATAGTGTGTACTTTGTTTCAAGGAATGAAGGTTTGCTGAAAGGAGCAAAAAGAATTGTGTATAACAATGTGTTTCTGCCCCTTCATTATATGGAAGTGAGTTAGGTATCCTGGAGAAACCTATGAGTTGATTATAGTAGAAATAGTTGTACTTTTACAGCTGTCTGCTGTAAAACAAGAAAAGTCAATGAATGTGAAGGGATGTGGATTCCCTTTCTAACAGTGAGTAACCAGTATGAAAATAGTATATTGAGATAGTTCAGTAGTTCATGTGGAAAATGAGTATTGAGTTACAAATCAAATATGGGAAGGAAGTGGGCTAAGAAAAATGGGAGGTAGTCCAAGGAATTAGTGATTGTACGGAGTTGTTAATTTTTTTAAGCGCCACCAAGCTCCAGAATGATTTGAGATCTTGAAAAAGGGAGAGATGAGAATTTTAATGAATAAAAAGCAGTGCAGGAATTGGTTATTGATGTGATAGAAGCAAGGACTGTTTGCAAGGATAGAACAATATGGAAAAGCATAGTGGATGCTGGTTGTATAAACAAGTTTGAATTGTTTAATTTTCTAATTTTTGCTTTGGCATCCTATTTCTTACTCCTTTTCTGCTATCTACTTGACGTTGCTTACTCTAAAAGGAATAGTGGAACTGGTTTGTCTGATGTATTTATGTATGCATAGTCTTATTTATTAAATGGTAACTATAGCAGTCACCAGTAGAACTAATATAACTTTTAAGGTTGGTTGTAGGAGTCTGTTGAAATAAATTTCAAGCAGTCACCTAATTGTATGAGAGAAATTTTAAGCATTTATCTAATGGTATCAAGCAAAGAAAGGAATTGGTCAAACATTTGCAGTCATTTACCATAACTGAGCTTTTTTTGGTGTGGTTTCTTCATGGAGTGTACTATTATAATCACTATCTTATTTGGCTATTTTGATGGATTTGGAATATGTAGTAATACATCTGAAAAATACGAAGTTGGGAAGGTTGTCCTTGAATTACAGGTAGTCCTCGTCTTACAATAGTTCCTTTAGTGACCGTTCAAAGTTACAATGGAAAAAACTGGAAAAAAGTGACTTATGACCACTTTTCACAGCTACAACCTTTGTAGCATCCCCACGATCATGAGATCAAAATTCGGGTGGTTGGCAACTGGTTCATACTTATGACCATTCCTGTGTCTTGAGCATGTGATTACTTTTTACAACAATTTGACAAGCAAAGTCAATGGGGAAGCCAGACTCACTTAACAACCAGGTTACTAACTTAACAACTGCAATGATTCACTTAACAATTGTAGCAAGAATGGTGATAAAATAGGGCAAAATTCACTTAACAAATTCTCACTTAACAAAAGAAATTGTGGGTTCAATTGTGGTCATAGGTCAAGGACTACCACCTGTATTTTGTGTGAACCGACCACTTTTAATCGATCAGTGTGTTTTAGAACTAATCTACATCTCATTTTAGGAATATAATAGCTATATAACTTTGTTGCCTTTACACCCATGATTACTTTAGACCGATCATTGCAGTTGCTAAAAATATGATTCAAAAAACCACTTGAACCACTTGAAATGAGCCGAGGTGGCGCAGTGGTTAGGGTGCAGTACTGCTGGCCACTTCAGCTGACTGTTATCTGCAGTTCAGCGGTTCTAATCTCACCGGCTCAAGGTTGACTCAGCCTTCCATCCTTCCGAGGTGGGTGAAATGAGGACCCAGACTGTGGGGGCGATATGCTGACTCTATAAACCGCTTAGAGAGGGCTGAAAGCCCTATGAAGCGGTATATAAGTCTAACTGCTATTGCTGTTGCTATTGCTATTGAATTTTTATCAACACATCACTACCTAAGATCACTTATGTAATCTTTGTATGATGATTAGTGTTGGAAACAAGATGAAAAGATCAAAACACAAATGCTATTTTCCATGACTTTCTTCACAGTCTTATCTCAAAACAAGTAGCTTTCCTGTGAAAGCTACACCTAGGTTAATTTTATTAAGAGAGTGGTCAAGGTTTCAGAAGTCTCTTATTCTGAATAAAGCATTTTCCCCATGCAGTAAAACACCTTGCTTTTTCCTTGAAAGTCCTACTTGCCAAAATGTTTATGTCTAGATATGTACCAACTGTATTGTCAGGCTGGTATATTAAGAACATCATCTACGATATTTCAACTGCAGAGGATGAAATCAGTCAAAATAAAAGGGAATCCTAATTTTTTTGTCTCCCGTAGCCTTTCATTATCTGGTCCATTTGATTAGTCTTTGTGTTTTTTTTTTAAGGATTCAGGTCAGTTTTTTACTCCTGGTGACTACATGGGCTTGGCAAGGTTTTCAGCAGTGGTTTGCCTCCTTCCTAGAACAGAGAGAGACTGACCCAAGGTCACCCAGGCAGAACTAGAACTCACCCTAGCCTGGTGCCTTAACCATTATACAAAACTGGTTCTCTAGATCTGTATGCATAAGGGAGCAAAAACAAAAAAAATTCAATTGCAGGTAAAAAGATAAAGATACCCTAAAAATGAACCTTGATTCACAGGGCTCTCATATGAACACATTGTTGTGTAGAATTAATTTTGCTAGCATCTTTTCCCCCTCTCTACGATGCTCCTTTGTATTCCAAACAATTGGAAGCATTTAAGAAACAGTATTTTGACACTAGAGTCATTAAAAGCTATACAGTACTCAGGCTTTGTCCTCTAAGGCAGTGTTTTTCAACCACTGTGCCGCGGCACACTAGTGTGCCGTGACATAGTGTAAGGTGTGCCGTGGGAGAATTACTTTATATATAGTCAATATAGGCACAGAGTTAATTTTTTTTAACATTTTCTAATGGTGGTGTGCCTCGTAATTTTTTTCATGAAAAAAGTGTGCCTTTGCACAAAAAAGGTTGAAAAACACTGCTCTAAGGCTACTGCTCATCTCTGTAGAACACGGGTGCCGAACTCGATTGCATCACATGATGTATCGTAATGTACCATGTTTTTGCCTTTCAGGAGCTGGGGTAGACGTGGCCTGCGTGTGATGCATTCCACACGCAGGGCACCAGTTTGACACCTCTGCTTTAGAACATTTTCCCAAATATTGTAGAATGCCTGTTGCTATCCACATTAATTCAACAGAAACAAACCAATATTTTCAGAAGAAAAGGGATTTTCACAACTCCATTTTTTGTTTCACATGTCACATCTGGGATATAAAAATATAAAACATATTTTTAAGAGATGCATAGTTGATGTGAAATACTGAATCTGCTAAAATGTAGAAATGCATTTGTACAATTTACATAGCTGTCCATTGCACATGGCTCTGGGTGGCATACAAAAAATATTTAAATTCTTCCAATGCAATAAATTGTTGAAAAATAAAGACATCATCTAAACCATGCAGCTTAGTTATGATTAATTATACAGTTACATAGTTGCTTCATCAAAGCATCAACATTTAGCCATGAAGAATTATTTTGTATTGAATGCATTTGGTAGTCTATAAACTGAATGGAATATCTGTAATGGTATTTTCTTCATGTAACACCTCTCCAAGCACAAACAATAATTCTGCACAACTGATATTTCTTAAGTGGCATGTGCTTCAAAAGCTCAAGTATTGGGATGCCTTTTAAAATGAAACAACACAGATTAAATACGGTAGATCACACTGTGAATTCCATGGCCAAGTTTTTACACTGTGCTAAACCTTGCTTGGTTGAATAAACCATGGACTGGGCTCACATATTTAGACATATGTGACCTAGCCAATCTCATCTCTCTCAGGAGCTTCTGATTTGAATGGGTAACTGTACAAATTAGTTTAAGCCTATTCACAGCTGCTGCTATAATTCCAACAGGATCCAACATGAGCAACTAGGATCCATTAGGATCCATTCCTACCAGAACAGCAGTCATTTGTAACTTGGCGCTTTTCCCACATTCTGGACTATTAGAATAATCATGGGTTTGAAGAGTGTATCAAATTGAAAAGATTCCAGTATTCTGGGCAATAATTACCACGAGAGCCAGTCTGGCCTA